TGAGGGCTCCATATAATCGATCTTTCAAAGATTCTTTATAAAGGACTCCATTTGTGGGAAACATAAGCGGTTCCTACAAGTTCTGTATCTCGAGGATCTGTAAGGTTTATATATCTATGAAGCTTTCTATATGGGCTCTATAGACCCCATAAGACAAATTAAAAAGTGATGGAGGTGATAAGAAGATGATAAGAAGATGAGTGGATGGGAGAAAAAGTGATGGGAGGTGAGGAGACATGAGATGCGAAGGGAAGGAATGAGTTAGGAGGGGGGGAGGTAGGAGGCAAGTGAGAGGGACAGGGTGGATCATTTACAAACGCCTTTAGGGGGACGCTCCTTGCGATGTGTGATTTTTGGAGCTGAGTTCTTACAAAGCCTGAGAGGGGCACACCCCGTGCGATCTGTGATTTTTGGATCTGAGTTCTTACAAAATATTAGGGCGACACCCCTTGCGATTTGTGATTTTTGAACTTACTTGTCATGAAAACCTTTAGGGGACACCCCTTAAGATCTGTGGTTTTGGGATTTGAATCTTCACAAAACCTTAAGGGGGACACCCCTTGCGATTTACTTGTCATGAAAACCTTTAGGGGGACACCCCTTAAGATCTGTGGTTTTGGGATCTGAGTTTTCACAAAACCTTAGGGGGATATTTAAGAAGGAGAGAAGGGAGGGTGGGGGAGGGTGGAGATTCCAGGAGAGAGAAGGGGGAAGAGGAGAGGTAGAGGGAGTGGAGGTGGGGGAGAGTGAGGAAGGTGAGGGGAGGGGGTAGTGGGAGAGATAGGGAGAGGGAGGGAGGGGTATGGGAGGATGAGGAGGAGGAAGATAGTGAAGATGATGAGGTGGATGATAAAGAGGGAGGGGTGGAGTGAGGTGTGTGGTGGGATGGGACGGGGTGGGTGGGCACGGCTGCCTGCTTCCGCACGCCCAGCCTTCCCTGCCCGAGCCGCGACCGAGCAGAAAGCATGTAAATATCGCGCTATAACAAGGGATAGGGATTTCACACATCTGCTGGCAAAATCTGGCGGAAGTGACCTGTGGTCCAGCAAAACACCTGTAAATACCGCATGAAAACAAGGGCTAGGGATTTCACACATCTGCTGGCAAAATCTGGCGGAAGTGAACTGTGGTCCAGCAAAACACCTGTAAATACCGCATGAAAACAAGGGCTAGGGATTTCACACATCTGCTGGCAAAATCTGGCGGAAGTGACCTGTGGTCCAGCAAAACACCTGTAAGTACCGCATGAAAACAAGGGCTAGGGATTTCACACATCTGCTGGCAAAATCTGGCGGAAGTGACCTGTGGTCCAGCAAAACACCTGTAAATACCGCATGAAAACAAGGGCTAGGGATTTCACACATCTGCTGGCAAAATCTGGCGGAAGTGACCTGTGGTCCAGCAAAACACCTGTAAATCCCGCATGAAAACAAGGGCTAGGGATTTCACACATCTGCTGGCAAAATCTGGCGGAAGTGACCTGTGGTCCAGCAAAACACCTGTAAATACCGCTTGAAAACAAGGACTAGGGATTTCACACATCTGCTGGCAAAATCTGGCGGAAGTGACCTGTGGTCCAGAAAAACACCATGTAAGTGACGCCTGAAAACAGGGTAGGGATTCACCATCTGCTGGCAAAATCGGGCGGAAGTGACGTGGTCCAGCAAAAACACCTGTGTCGAGGGCCGAGGGTGGGCGGGGTGTATTGGGGGATATACGCATGAAACAAGGGCTGGGGATTTCAACATATGATGGCAAAAAATTGGCGGAAGTGACCTGTGGTCCAGCAAAACACCTGTAACTCAGATCCGAAAACCATGGATCGCAAGGGGTGTCACCCTAAGGGTTTGTGTAATAAATATGTTTCAAAAACACGAATCGCAAGGGGTGTCCCCCTAACTTAGGTTTTGTAAGAACTCCATTACTAGCCTAAAGGTTTTTTCAACCAATAGGTTCCAAAATCAAATCGCAAGGGGTGTCGCCGGGGGCTGGGGCCCTCCCTCGGGCTTGGGCTGGGGTTGGGCAGGGCTGCAAAGCTTGGTTTTGCCCCATAAACGCCCCTCGCTGGGGGCTGGGTGAGGCTGCCTAGGGGCTGGGGCTGAGGCTGGGGGGGTGGGCGAAAAGGCAGCTGGGCTGGAGGCTGGGGGCAGGCGCAGGCCCTGGCGGGGTGGGGGCGGGGGGGCTGGGGCTGGGGGATGGGGCTAGGACTGGGTGGGGCTGGGGGCTCGGGGCTGGGGGCTGGGGCTGGGGTCGGAGGCTGGGGGCTGGGGCTGGGGTCGGAGGCTGGGGGGCTGGGGCTGGGGCTGGAGCTGAAGATTTAAATTTTTAAAATTCTTTAAATTCTTTAAATTCTTTAAATTTTTAATTCCGGACGATTTCAAAATTAAAAGAATTTAAAGGATTTACACCCTTTAAATTTTTTAAATTCTTTAAATTTTTAATTCCGGACGATTTCAGAATTTAAAAGATTTACCCCCTTTAAATTTTTTAAATTCATTAAATTTTTAATTCCGGACGATTTCAGAATTTAAAGGATTTACTCCCTTTAAATTTTTTAAATTCTTTAAATTTTTAATTCCGGACGATTTCAAAATTTAAAGAATTTAAAAAATTTAAAAAATTTAATTCCGTGGGCTGGGGTCGGAGGCTGGGGGGCTGGGGCTGGAGCTGGAGCTGGACATTTAAATTTTTAAAATTCTTTAAATTCTTTAAATTTTTAATTCCGGACGATTTCAGAATTTAAAGAATTTAAAGGATTTACCTCCTTTAAATTTTTTAAATTCTTTAAATTTTTAATTCCGGACGATTTCAAAATTTAAAGAATTTACCCCCTTTAAATTCTTTAAATTTTTAATTCCGGACGATTTCAAAATTTAAAGGATTTACCCCCTTTAAATTTTTAGATTCTTTAAATTTTTAATTCCGGACGATTTCAGAATTTAAAGAATTTAAAGAATTTAAAAAATTTAATCCCGTGGGCTGGGGTCGAAGGCTGGGGGGCTGGGGCTGGAGCTGGAGATTTAAATTTTTTAAATTCTTTAAATTCTTTAAATTTTTAATTCCGGACGATTTCAAAATTTAAAGAATTTAAAGGATTTACCCCCTTTAAATTTTTAAAATTCTTTAAATTTTTAATTCCGGACGATTTCAGAATTTAAAGGATTTACCCCCTTTAAATTTTTTATTTTCTTTAAATTTTTAATTCCGGACGATTTCAAAATTTAAAGGATTTACCCCCTTTAAATTTTTTAAATTCTTTAAATTTTTAATTGTGTATATACACAGTATATATTAAGACACAGAGCAAGCCCTACGCCAAATAGGACCTAAAGGTCCTACGTACAGAGGGGTATAGGGTTTAGGGCCTACTTGGAGGTTCATGGATAGTTATACATGGTGCTATAAGCAGGATGGCTCTACTTCTAACCGAGAGATGTGTTCCCTGATCCTCCCTGAATGCCCTTGACCCCAGACCTCGCTTTCCTCAGGGCGCCAAAATCCGGCTCAGTGCTTCATCGGGGTGGTGGATCGCTATTGGCTAAAGCCTGACTGTTTTGTACTTAGGGTTTGTTATGTGGCTGTGTTACCATACCATGGGGAGTTCAGAAAATTCGGTGGTCTGTCCTAGGGATTCCGACTATGACACTTCCCGGCATTTTGTCCCGCGCCCGATGTGCCCAGGTACAGAGCCAGCCACGCGTGACTCAAGAGAGTAGCTGCAGGCCGTGTTAAGGGGATGCCAAGATGTACCCTACCTTATCTGCTTCCCCCAAAGGCTCCATGTACCCATAAAGTAGGTACTTAAGCCTTAAAGTACCGTTATAGGGACCCCTTTAAGGCCTAAGTAGCTACTATATGGGTACATGGAGCCCTCGGGGATCCGTGGGAGTGCGCTACGCTCAGGATAAGATTCCCCAACATAGATCGCAGGGCGTCGTTGCTCGGATCCATCCTCGTAGTAGCGATTACTATGCTGAACTTAGAACCCTAGCAAAAATTAATAATTTAGCTGTTTCTTAAGGATTATAATAACCAAAAATTTTAAAAAATCTAAGTACCCCTAAGATTAAGCAACCTCAGAGTTAGAAGCGAATTGGAAGGGCAGGAGTACGTACATGGTCGAGCTTCGTGCTCGAATCTTTTCCGAAATCTACGCGAGTTCCTGTGCCTTGTACAACCGAACCCTGCAACCTCATTTACAATCCAACGATATCCAACGTGTCCGGGAGAGTGTCGCCTGCAACTAGGGGTGATACTTAGCTTGCTAGTTCAGGTATGAGGCATACGCACTTTCGCTCGCAAAACGGCTCTAAGCAGGGCTTTTAGGAATCTTGGTTACCAAGCTTCGCTGTCTTAGCTCAAGCCTAGGAGGACCGAGATCAATGAACAGTCAGGTAAAGTGAGCCAAACTGCATCTGAGGCCATGTCGGAAGGCAACAACTCTTCTTGAAACCACGCTGGCGAAACAGAGGCCGAGGTTTCCCATGAACTTCTACAGCTACAAGTACTATAGTATATGGTAGTATACGAAAGCCACGAACGCGCGTCACCTGCAGCTTTTGTGAGTCTACTCTACTTTATGGTGGCGACGGGCAGAAGGGCAAGAACGAGGGTTTAGGGTGATGGCATGCTCAGAGCTCTAGGAACCTCGATCTCAGTCATGCACTATGGACATACACTGAATTACTGGAACAGGGAGTGGGCCATGGAATGAGACTAGATCCTTCTGGGCTTGCGCGACACATCAACGGAACCACTTCAACGAAAGCAGCTACAGTAGTTGAAGAAACATACCGAGGAGCTTGCTGTGTCAGAAACCAAGGAATAATGACACAGCCACACGTAACAGGAGCAATGAACAAACCCATCAGTAAACTGTATGCTGGGCATCAGGAACCTTTGTCCGAAACTCTATACTCGAGGTTCAGGGGAAGGCATGTCATTGGCTACCACTCCCCGTGACCTGCATAAAGGGTACAGTAGTGGTTACAAGCGGCTGCTTAGGACTCATTCGGCAGAGGTGTGAGACATCCGCGCCGAAGAGGCATGGACTGCGCCTGGGGAGGTGTCACGAGGCTGGGGGGAGGCTGCAGAGGGTATTTCTTTGAGCTTGCAGCTGAACATGGGCATCTCTAAGCAACGAGAACTGCACAAATGGCTCAATAGCCGTGTGCATTAAAAAATGGAATAGCCCTGCTTCTGTCAGACAGTTCAGGGATTGCTATCGCTCCGGGGGCTGACACCAATCTCTTTCTTGCCCTCAACCCCAACCCCTTTAGGGCTTCGGGCGTCATAGGGCTTTAGGGGCCCTAAACTGTAAACTCTAAGCCCTGAGTCCTACCCTAATCGCTAAGCCCTAAACTCTAAACCATAATCCCTACCCTAAACCCTAAACTCTAAACCGTAACCCCTAATCCCTAAACCAAACTCCCAAACTCCCCTCCCTTCCCAAATGACATCGGAGCGACCCGACGGATCAGCGGCCGCAGGGCGGTGCCACAAAGCTCGAGGCCTCTTGGCTTCACTCGGGCTTTCTGGGGTGGTGAGAGTTTACTTCAAGGCTCATGGGACTTAGTAAGTAAGGTTATAAGTAAGTCATAATCAAGATAACCCCACTTAGGGGACTTATAACCCCAATTATAACCTACTTACTAAGTCCCATGATCCTCTAAGTAATATAGGGGTCTTCATGATTAAGCTAGGGGTTCCTTTAAAGGGTTCTTACAAGGGGTCCTACGAGGGCTACTTTAAGGGGTATGGTGGGGGTTTAATATAGGGACCTTGACAAGTAGAATCGAGATATGGGTGTAATTATACTAGATACCTAAACCTTTAAAGGGGTCCCTATATGGGTAGTTGTTAAAATTATGGGCCCTTTTTGGGTACCCTAAATATTAGGTGCCATACTATCATTGGGATCCAAAAAGGGATCATAATTTTGACAACCACCCATATAGGGACTTTATGGCCTAAGTATATATGGGTACATGGAGCCTTGGGGCTCGTCGCCGCTTGGAGTCGGATAGAAGTTCGAGGGCCATGCAAATGTAGGGGCCTCAACATTTTTGAATCGGGTTTTGGGGGTTCCTCGTTATAATTAGTTGTAAGATCTCGAGGGCTCGGGCTTCTGGGTATTTGGGTGTTGGGCGCGGGAGTGTCTTGAAGAGTGGAGCTTCACGCCTCGCAATCGCCATGAACGCCGATAAGGGCTTGGCACAAGTTCTATACGGGGTTTGAAAGGGGATTTCGTAAAGTAACTATGGCTGTGGGGCATTAGTTATGCTCGGCCAGAAGTATATGAGGGGATCCCACAACAAACCGCTCACACCTCGAAGTTTCTGAGTAAACGAAGTGCTATAAACAGTGTTCGTTGACATCTTTCTCATATTGCGAATTGGGAGTTTCCGAATATTAGGGGTACCTTCTTTAGGGGTCCTTATAATAAGGATCCTACTATTTAGGTACTATATTAGGGTCCCCTATTTTCGGAAACCCCCAATTGGAGCAAAACCCTGCGTGCAACGAATCTCCACCTCCCTCTTCTCGAATATCGGGGTTTAAAGCCCAGAGACTCCAATATCCCTTAATTAGGGAATATACCTTAAATCATATTAGGGATCCTACTATAATTTAAGGAATATTCTTAATTAAGGGATATTGGAGTCTCTGGGAGCTCTGAACCTAAGTTTTCACCGGAATCCACGGCCTCCTGGCGCACTGCTGGATGGAGGTCCAGGATAGCCGCATCTGCGGCACCTCTAATCTCCCCTAACTCCTACAAGCAACACTACTATGTCGAGCTTTTTGGGGTTTAGGGTTTAGGGCATAGGGTACCTACATTGGGCTCCAAAGCCTTCGGATTTTGGATCCAGGAAGCTGGGTGCCGGTGTGATGTCCTTAATAGCAACACTACAAGCGAACTGGAATCTTCTCTTCTGTTAACTCTTCGCTGGTTGCATATCACATACAGTACTCAGACAATTGTCGAAGCCAATCTGTGCATCACTTGATATGCCGTCTTCGTAAATCCGTTTCGTTTGTCTTTGGACTCTTCACATGGAACAACAAACAGGCGTGTCCTCGCTCATTGTCCTTACGGTAGTGATTAGACTCCCTGTTCCCATGCGCATCAGGGTTCTGTACCGTCATGCATCGCGGTATGATCGGGGAAGCTTTAAGGCCTACTGGCCTGCTGTGCAGACCACTTGCGATCACACCACCGTTGACCCCAAATGGGCAAAACCATTGATCCTGCTCGTCATATTGCCTCGACCTCATTCGAGCACAGCGATGCGGGTGCTACATGTTGACCGAGGGCCCGGACTAAACGTCGCAATCACTACATCCAGATGGCTAATTCCGACTTTTACCAAACGATGCCACTAGCCATGAATCACGAGGAAAACCATGCAAAGGCCTCCAAACCTCCAGCGAAACCAGTAGACAGAAATAACATCAAGCCCGATGGCTACAACGGCTAACGAAGAACCTTCAACCCTAAACCCCAAAAACACACACACAGCGATGTCTGGGCAGCGAACTCAGAGTCGTGTGCCGTTCGTTGCGGCGTCCCAGGACCTCACCGAGCAGTTTCAAGTGTTCCAGGTTTTGGGTCTTGTACTTAGGAGGATCATGGGACTTAGTCAGTAGGTTATAATTGGGGTTATAAGTCCCATAAGTGGGGTTATCCTGATTATAACCTGCTTATAACCTTACTTACTAAGTCCCAAGAGCCTTCAAGTAGGGTTGTGAAAAAGCCGTTAAACAAAGGCGAAAGGAGAGTTGAAAAGGGCTTTGACTTTCAGCAGGTTTTATCGGGTTTTGTAAGAGTTGTAGAAAGCTTTGTAAGCACTTTATAGGGTTGTCGAAGAGTATGGAAACTTCTTTTTGGGATGTCCAAGAGGGGTGAGGCTTTAAAGCTAAAACGGCCTGTAGTTTGAAGCTAACCTTCAAATCCGAAACACTAAACCCCATACTGAAGCCATAACCGCCCCCATTTTAAACCTTATACCCCAACAACATAAACCCTAAACTAAGCCACACATAACAACAAAACCCTAACCCGAAAAAACAAAACCCCTAAAACTGCCTCTAACCCCAAACCCCCAAAACCCCAGACCCTCGAGCCGTCTTTAAGAGCTCTACATGCCCAAACTCAAGCCTTCCCCTTGGAGGATCATGGGACTTAGTAAGTATGGTTTTAAGTACCTTAATTAAGGGTTATAAGTATAGTTACCTTGATAATAACCGTACTTACTAAGTCCCATGATCCTCTAAGCAAGCCTTACTTGAAGGCGCATGGGACTTAGTAAGTAAGGTTATAAGTAACTTATAAGTAAGATCAACCCACTTAGGGGACTTATAACCCCAATTATAACCTACTTGCTAAGTCCCATGATCCTCCAAGTACAAGCCTGAACTCGAGACAGAGGCTCCCACGACTAGAGCCGCTCCCCAGCCCAGGCTCCGTCCTTGGCGTGGCGGCCTTGGCCAGGGCTCTCGGAGGCTTTTTTGGGGTTCGGGGTTTAGGTTTAGGAGTTTGGGATTCAGGGTTTTTCGGTTAGTTACGGACTTTGGAAGAAAAATGCAGGTTTCGGCGTATGGGCTTGGCCTCGATAGGATGTCATTGCGCCTCCCGCGGCTATGTTGAGCCTCTGCGCATCTCTGCGCCTCCTTCTTCAGCTTGACTAGAATCTCATTGCGTGTGCAAATGTCATGGCGCTTGCAGGCTGCGTGGGCGTGCTGGAAGTTTTCTTTGAGCCACCACGATTCGGCCGATTTGGCAGCTGAGCACACCAATATCTGGGTCCCAGTGCTGTAGCTCAAAAAATAGCTAAGAAGCCCTCGGGCGTTTGCGATACTGTGTTGGATCGCGAGGTGCTGCATACTGGCACAAGAGCTGCCCGAAACCCGCAGCAGAAGCTTGCTTGTCTGAAGGGACAAAGTCGAACTCTCCGACAGCAAGACCTCCATCGTTTTCGGAATCACTGTGCTGAAAGGATGCTGCAAATTGTTTCGTTCAACTGCCCGCAGCTGCAAAACTTGCTACGCTCTCCCTGTCAAGGTTGGTGTGCTCACAGCAATGACAAGCAGGGTCCCTTCCTGATTCGAATATCCGTGTCTTGGACAGCACCTCGCAACAAACCAACAGCCAATATTGACCCACTGTGGGACACCTATCATACCGTCTAGCTGGGGCTTGGCCTATGCAGTCACCATGTGGACGGATAGTGTTCGTGATTTGACGAACATCTCAACGCTAAACCCTAAACCCCAAAAGTGTGTTTGGGCATCAGAGCCTCATCCGGCGAGCGCCGAGCAGCGCTCTGCCTGATCTCGGCACAGCAGCAGCTTCTGAGGGAAACTCCGAGCATCTTCGAACCCCTCGCAAGCCCTGCACCCGACACCCGAAGCCCTTCATGAACCCGAAATCCCCGAAGCCCTCAGGCCCCCAAATCATGCTGCTCATGCTCGCCTTCCTCTCTGTGCCAAGATCCTCCTCCGAAGTTGTCCTGTCGACAGGCACATCCAACGTAGGGGCTAGAATCGGCTGTTGGGGCATATTGTACTCTAGGGCCTCTAGGGGCTAGGAAGTTACATTATTGCTGATTTTCCAGGCCTCTCCATTACCCTTTTCTAGGGCTCGGAGTCGCAAGGTTCCTCAAGGACTCTAGGGGTTAGGGTTTAAGGACTCTCTCGGTGTTAGAGTTCCGGTTTGACATGTTTCCGTGTTTAGGTGGGGCTCGGGTCACGACAATTTATAAGGTACCCTAAATGCATTCTATTGGGGGCATTAATGTCCCTTAGGTAAATTACCCAAAGGCCCCAAAGTAGTTCCTTTTTGGGGGTTCGTATATAGAATCTTATTATGTAATCCCAAAAAGGAACTACTTTGGGGCCTCTGGGTAAAGGTCGTGGTGGTGTTTATAGGCTTTGCTTATTCACGAAGCCTCGGCTTCGAACCAAATGGCCCAAGATCCGGAACCCTTCCAAAGGGAACTCCAGAAAGTTGGAATATGGTTTCAGGGTAGGATACCCGATAATTTACCATAAAGGGTTTAGGATAATAATATTCCAACTTTCTGGCTTCTACTGTAGCCCTAAAGTTCCACGCCCAGAGCAGCAACCCAAAGGCCTCATATCGTGGGATGCCAATGCTTGGCATTCTTAAATATTGATACTCTTCTCTCTTCTCCAATAACCAGGCCCAAACAAAGTTCAAACTTTTTAAGCTAGACCAAATATATGAAGCCAAAAAGTTTAAAGTTCTCCAATAGGCTAAGTAAGTCTTTCCAATAATACTATTAATCTTCTTCACCTTCTTCTTTCTGTTGTTACAGTATAGCTGCCATCATCACGACCCCCCCCCGTTCCTGGAGGACATGGTGGTTGCCACGGAGCGCCCGCGGCCTGCATGCTCAGACGTCGTTGGGTTCTGAGAGTTCTTGGGGATTCACTGGTTCTGTGAATGCAAAAAGTTTAAAGTCTTTCGGTATGGGGATTTAGGGTTTGAGGTGTCGGGGTGAGGGCTCGGAGTGCCTGGGTGAGTGAAGAGATCTGTAGTGTGCTTTCAACATGTGGTTTAGGGTTCAGGGTTTCACTGAAACCGTGTCTTGGAATGGGAGATCGGGAAGGACGAAGATTCGAGGGCCCAAAGCAACGGCTTTGTTTTAAGTTAAGTTTAGTTCAACAGGGCATTTTGAAGGATGGAGTCATTGGGGAATCAGGTGTTCGGACTTGTATTTCGGGTTTGGTCTTAAAACTGAAGCCCTCAATCGGAACCTTCAAACTCAAGATGCTGGACCCATACCCGCCTTCAGTGAAGGGGTGTCTTGAGTATGGTAGCAGCGATCCTTGAAGCCTGCAGTGCCTTAAGTTCTGGCAGTTAGTAAATATTAGGCATCCTCAACGACAGAGAGGATATTGGCTATTGCCGTCTTTCCCGCACTTCTGGTCTAGCTGGAAAGCTGGCCCCAGACCGCCTTCTTCTGGGCTTCTGCCTTGGCAGTTGCATCCTTCCGGCAGCTCAAGGAAAAGAACAGGGCCGAGGATAGGGGCTTCGAGTTTGAATCTCTGCTTGTCATAGTAGTCTAAAGTCCAACCCTATGAACTCCAGAAGGAGGATAAAAACCAATTCGGGCAAAACACCACTCCTTCTCTGTTGCCTAGATGCGAAGACGCCTTCAACAGAGATTTGGGGCAGCGTGCAAGGAAGACCCTCGGGTGGCTACGGCCATGCACAGACAGAATCCACTGGCTAGTCTTTATCGAAGTATCTAGATTCACCCCCACATCCGAAGTGGAACTTGCCGACATTGCAGATTCCGTTTGAGAAGGATTGCCAGGATATCTACATATGTATATATATATATATATATATGTATGTGTATATATATATATGTATGTATGTATGTACACATGACCTTTACATGCATCTATCTACATTCTTGAACAACTCAAGACCATTATACCAACTTGAGAAGCACGAACATCCGTAGAGGTCCGCGCAGCTTGAGTTCGGGAGTCTCGGCACGTTTAGAGGCCCCCGAAGATGAGATAGGCGCTTTACCGAGCGAGTCCAACTATTTGCCGACATTTTGGATCTGAAGTCTACGATGGAGTTTTTTTTATACGATGGAGTTTAGGGTATAGGGTTTAGTTTGCATGATGCTGATTTGTAAATCATTCCAAGAAGACCAGTCTGATGCATGGCGTTTTCCGTACTGAAACCCGAGGGAGAAACCGGCCACCAAAGTAGTGCAAGTCGGCGCAGGGGTTCGGGGTACATGGTCGCCGCGGAGTTCAGAGAGCCCGCAACCGGCCGTGATGAAGCAATATACTCATACGAATCAAATTCAGCATCTCGTTGTCATATCTAGGCTCCTTCTTGATCGGGTCTTAGGCTCGCTGCAGATTATCGGGGCTCGTTCGCTCCTTGACCATCATGGGCTCGAATCGTGGGCTTCGCGCCGTAGCGCCCGAACCCCAAAAGGGTAGAGGGCTCAGGACTCACAGGGTCCACAGTGTTCTCAGGCTGCAGGCAGGGTCATCGGGTTTCAATCGCTACACCCTTCCGATTTTCGACGGAGCCACGCGATAGCCTCGCAGCTGCAGCCCTCCAACCCCCTGCGCCATACGGCTTCAGGTTAACCTGCGACCCAAACAGAGTAGATAAGCAAAAAGAGGTCCGAGGGGTTTGACGGGGGCCTTAATGATTTGAATTTGGTTTTGGGGCCTATATTATACTATAAGTAGAATAAGGAACCCCCCAAAACAGCAAGGGTAATTCTTAAGGCCTCTATATTGAATAAGAAACCACAAATCCTGAACGCTGACTTTAGGGCTGAGTGGGGTTTGGGGTTATCAAGAGCTCCTCGCGCACGACGCGGACGCTTCGGTCGATGATGGCGATAACCTCCTTCAGGGGTGCAGAGATATCTGGGGTTTAGGGTTTAGGGTTAGGGCTAAGGGTTGCAAGATCATGGACACGCAGCATCAGGCCCGACAAAGACGTGCATAAACCCAGCCGCTTTCATTTACCCACGAACCTTGAAGCATAGGTGTCGTAGGATCTCGCATTGAAGGGCAGAGCGTGTAGACTATATGACTTAAAGTGAACCAGCTTTCGATCTTTCGGATCAACAGATCGCGATGATGCTTCCGTCGTACTTTTTCAGAACAAAGCGCGTGTCTCACAACTAATGAGCTAGGCTGAGTACCAGTCATCCCGTAATCAAGATCCCAAGCCAACGCGAAGATGTCTAACCATCAATTATCAATTTTTGTCCCAATACTCAACCAACCCAAAAGAACACCCCAACGCCCACCCGAACACCCATGCCCAAATCTAAGGGTAACCCTATCCAGAATGCCCTGAAGGCCTTATAAGAGCCTAAAGAAAGCTAAACTCTGTGCTAAACTGCCCCTGAGCCCCAAGCCCTAACATGAACTTCTAAAGTCCCAAAGTACTGCAAACAACTCGTAGCCCGAATGCTCCCGAGCCCCAAACCCGCCAAACATTTCTAGGGAAAAGGAAGGAACAGAAATATTCATGCCCCAAACCCAGGCCCTGAGCACCCTAAATCCAAAACCCAAAGCCCTGAGTCCTGAGAACTAAAACCCTGAACCCAGAGCCCTAAGAACCCCAAAAACCCTAAACGCTGTGCCGCAAAACGCTGAACCCTGAACCCCCCGGAACCCTGAACCCCCGATAACGCCAAACCCTAAAGATCCGGACCTCGCAATCGTCTTCCGCGCTGTCTGCATCGGTGGCTGCCAGCTCATTCTGGGCATCTGCGACGCAGTCCTCATCAAAACTACAGGGGAGCTTTCCTAAAATTTTGGCTTCATGGTAACTCCACAACAGCTCTCAAAACGCTCGGGCTTTGTTTGGTTTTTGTGATGGGGATCCAGGCTTAAAGTTTAGGCGTCTGGGATACCGGCTCGGGATTCGAGGCTTTCGTCATGGTTAAGACTTTCAGAAGCAAGTAGGGGCTTCCAACCCATCGTAAGTAGCGCTGCTGAGCAGGGCTCAGGATTTCGCGCTGCCTGTCTTCCCTAGAGAAGCAGTCCGACGGTAGATCGGCAAAGCTCCGTTGCCTGATGCCAAACCCGAGCATGAACTCATACTCAAACCCAAAAGGGGAGCTTCCGGCAATTAGGGGTACCTTATTCGGGGTCCTTCTAACAAGGATCCCACCGTACTACTATTCAGGGTACTGTGTTAGGGTCCCTATTTTCCCAAATCCTCTTCGAGAAGGGATTGCCGGCCTCAGGGTATCTCAGGTGTTTCATTCTTGGGCGAGGAGGGCTCCGGGTGTTCGAAACGGCTCGGGCAGAATATTGCATCAATAGCATAGATTGAAGTACTGGTAGGGTAAGGGTTTGTTTGCCCTTACTGTCTGCACTAACGGCTGGGGCTCCTGTACCACATTCTGCAAACCACCACCGAGGAATGAGACCAACGCACTCTGTTTGCCTGTGATGGTTTAGGGCTTGGGATTTACGGTGGCCTTGAACCAGCCCTGTACTTCCGAAAGCCGCAAGGACACATGGAACTTTGCAGGGGTCTGGACGTTGTGGTTACAAATAGCCGGCATGACCATCATATGGGAGTTTCCGAGAATACGGGACCCTAATATGGCTCCCTAAATAGTAGGATCCTTATTATAAGGACCCCAAAATTATAAGGTCCCCCCCCCCATTTTCGGAAACTCCCATCTGGTGTAGAGACTGTGGGCCCAATCTGGGTGCCCAGTGAGCATGAAGCCCCTCATGCTTGGAGGTTCATGGGTAGTTATAAGTGGGGTTATGAGTCCCCTAATATGGGTTATCAGTATAGTTACCCTACTTATAACCCCACTTATAACTAGCCATGGACCTCCAAGTAGGCCCTAAACCCTATACCCCGAAAGAATCCCTATAGACCCCCTTTAAAGGGACCCTTAAAGGAACCCTTATAACTACCCATGAACCTCCGAAGCTACGATGTTTACCATCGGTCCTCCTCGGCATCGTCGTCCTCCTCCGCCTCTTCGCCTTCATCTGTCGGATGGCCCTCGTCTGCATCCTCCATGTCCTCGTCCTCCGATACGGGAGTTTTCCGAACATGAGGGGTACCTAATTTGGGGGTCCTTATAATAAGGATCCTACTATTTAGGGTACTATATCGGGGTCCCCTCTTTTCGGAAACTCCCATATCGCGGCAGCTCAGGCCACAAAAAGGAAGAGCTGTCATGCCCTAAACTCTGAACCCCGACCCCCCTTCTCAAACGGGAGTTTCCGAAAATAGGGGACCCTAATATAGTATTATAAGGACCCCAAACAAGGTATCATATATCATAATTTTTGGAAACCCCCAAATGAGCTCCCGGAACGTTTCCGGTCTCTCCTCGAGGTCCGGGTCGCCTTCGTCCTCCTGCGTGCAACAACGACGGCAACAATGATCAGACCAACACAAGCAGCCGCGATTCTGGCAGCGGCAGCAACAACAGGAAGTGATTCAATAGCATTCTCTGCCGGAATGACGACATGATGATCGACTTCCTGGTAGAGGGTCTTCCCGATTTGAACGGGGCCGATTTGATGGGGAAGGCTTCCAAGTCTGTTGGATCTAAGATGCAACACTTTCCCGAGAGTTCGGCGAAGCAGAGGTCAACAAGAAGAGGACCAGCATGCCGAAGCTTGCCTTTGTGACTCCTTGACACACTTCAACTTACCGAGAAGTGAAGAATTCCTCATTCCAAAATCACTTCAGCCAGTAAACTCCAAACCTCAAATCCTAAACCCCTCACACCTCTCAACTGGAAACTCTCCTCCTGCTCCGCCTCCCCTTTTGCTGACTTTGCGACACTTCCGCCAGCCTTGCAAAGTGGCTTCAGAACTATGTGCAAAAGTTTACCTAAACCCTTATAAACCCTACTCCTTCGTTTGCATATGGTTGGGCTTTACTTTTGAGAGTTCTACTAAGCTTCCATGAGGGTTTTGGGGTAGTACTAGTAATGGTTGGGCAATGCAAGTCTGGGTTGGTATTTTGGGGCCTCAGTATTATTAATTGTAGAATCGAGACTTATTGGGCGGCACATGACGCAGCTCCATACTTGGAGGATCATGGGACTTCGTAAGTAGGTTATAATTGGGGTTATAGGTCCCCTAAGTGGGGTTATCCTAATTACAACCTACTTATAACCTTACTTACTAAGTCCCATGAGCCTTCAAGTAGTGGAAACCGAGAACCTCTTGCCATGCGGGAGGCAGCCTGGCGCTCGGAGGTGCGTCCTGCTTTCGAAGCCTTCGAGGGCGATGACGGGCTCAGACTTTTAGAAGCTCTGGTGCCATTGCACTCCTCTTTTCTGGGGGATATGATACACTTGTAATTAAGCTGCCGCTGCCAACTTCTCCCACCAGAAGGCCCGAGTGCACAAAAAAACGAGTTCTAAAATCACAAGCTAGCGCCCTTCGCTCCGGAAAATCAGCAGACGACTTCTATTGATGAGCCGCATCCCATTCAGTACAGATCAACCTTTGTTATGCAATTGTCTTTTGATAAGGAGAGAATGCAGACCTAGAAGAGCCCCCACTTGCCTTGCGCTTGGCCCGCGCCGCAGGTGGCCGCCGCAAGACGGCCAACTTCGGTCGCGAGGCGAGAGGCCTCTGATCAGTTGGTGAGGTTTCTTTTGAAGCGTTCCAGCTTCGCAGAGCAGGGTTAAGGTTGAGGGTTTAGGGCTTATGGGGCTTGGGTTTTTATTTTTGGGTGAGGTTCAGTGTCGGTTTGACGGGATGTTGATTTGTCGCGTTGTTTTTGTGCGGTTAGGGGTTCCGAGGTTCAGAATGGGGTTTCATGCGACGTGCTCAGGAATCGGGCGTGGGGTCTCTGTAGTGAAACTTTGGCATCTTGTTGGGAGTTGGGCTTTAGGTTGGTTTAAAACTTTCGAATATAAGTTACTGTCATTGTCATGTCACATTTCGGGTTGAGGCGTCAGGGCTTGGTATTTTGGACCCGCCGGCAATAGCCCCGACTGAAGGAACAGCATTCTCGGATGTAGTGCTCGCTGCTCTCGTGCTTTGGACTCGTGCTTTGGACTTGCAAGTGCACTCGGAGGGCCAAAAGCCACTGCATCAAGCCATGTGCTTGTAAGCCGGAGGAAAAGATTCAGGGCTGATTGGTAGTAAAGGGGTGTCTGGCTCTGCGCGTGCTCATGGTTGAAGGACGCCTGTCCGGCGCAGGGGCTCAAGGTTTCAGTGTCTAGTTCTTCTATGTTCTAGGCATAGAGGTTCTAGATGTTGAGTTTTCGGGTTTCGGGGTTGACGGCTCAGGAAGTTATCTGCCGTCCTGAAACTAGCAACATCAAGCCTTGCACGATCAGCTTTAAGGCCATCGCATATGAGGCCATGAACATATCAAACAGGATGTGGGATTACATTTCGTAGGGACTCCGAGATGGGGATACCGGCATGCTATGACAAACTGCTCAACCTCTACATTCCTTTAAAGCTGAGATGCAAGAACTTGTTGACCCTGTCGTTGTAGTCCCTGCGCCAAAGGCCATATGTAGCGTAGGGCACAAGGGATGTGACCTCTGCCAAACAGTTACCTAGCAGTGTTCCTCTTGGGCCCACCCTTTCTCAAACATAGGCCCAACGGCAGCTCTCAATTCCTTGGTGTTGGATGTCGGGAATTTTCTGGAAACGGAGTTCAGTTCGTCACGTCCTACATCGTCGGTGTCTTTATTCTGGGCCCTTGCATACCGCCACAAGTCGACATAAACGCCAACGCAATGGCCTAGGAGCTATGGCGTGAACAAGGACTAGGACTGGACAACGACGTGATAGTGGCCATGAACCCTAGATGGCGGGATGCTTGAATGATGTACATCCCTGATCAAATAGGTTAACAACCCCCCATCTTTATAATGGCCATGCTATGATCGTACACAACGGTTTGCTAATCAAGAATCTGCATTGAGCAACAAGTCCATCCTCTGCCTCGTCACACGCACACGAGCAAAGATACCGCCGGCCACCGAAGTGAAGGCATCGAAGGCTGCGCCGGAGCCCACGACGACGACCCCGCCGTTGGGCTTCCTCTTCTTTTTATGCTCTTTCCGAAAAGGCTGAGGATCTCATGAGCCCCCTAGAATTAAGCAAGCCCTTTCGTTGTTTGGAGAACCTCAAACCAACAGAAAGACAATGAACAAGGGACCAGCACTCAGGTGACCGGCACCGGGGGGCCTTTGGACTCCCTCATTTTTGCGAGTCCTGATCCCCCGAACCATGTTCTATCGCACCAAATCCGGGAATGCCTGCACCCGAAACCCCACAGCCAAAGAGCAACAGCCAAACGTGAACACAGTATGTGCTTTTTGAAATGGCGTGGCGGCTTCTAATGCCATGCTCCACGGTTGAGGAACAGTCAAGTTTTCGCTGTCTTTCAAAACAGATGATCCCAGGCCTTGGCACATAACGGACCCTTAAAAGTCTCAAGAGGACGAACCTTATGGCCCCTGATAAACTGCCAGAAACCCTGAAAGCGTCCAAGCATCAGAAGCTTCCGGAGACTGTGAAGCAAAGAAGAGTGCTGATCCTGGCTGGGTTGTCAATTTTCTTTTACCGAATTAGGCGAGGGTTGTGTCAGGGCTCAACCTGAATGCTTCGAAGCTTTGGCTAAAGGCTCTCTAAAGGCAGGAAAGGTGGTATTGGTTTGTTGTGGGGAAACCACTGAACTCTACGCCATAAAAGCCCCAAATCCCAAACCATATAGTCCTCCTACCATCCGAAACGAACCGTGAGCCCGCCCGTCCGCCACCTTTGTTTCGAGGATGTCCGAGGCAATGATCCAGTCCTTAATCTAGGGGTTGAATTGGGCTGCAAGAAGGCTTCCGATTAGAGGGTTTTGTGAGACGATCTACGGTTTGGCGCTTTGAGTTTTACGGTTGAATGGAGGAGAACTACCAATTGCCAAATACAATGTCCGCAGCCGCTAAGGACTCCAAGGAACAGTCTTAATTGAAGGCTGTGTTTTCCATGGAAGACACGCACCTCCATTATCCTGATACAACCAAAATAAACAGCCAGGTGACTGTCCAAACGACCCGAATAATTCCGTATGTACCGGGCTTATGGGCTTTGGGGTTTTAGGGTTTAGACCCAACATCCGAAACCCTAAAGTTCCTACGGCGGAAGCCCTAAGCCTTCCGTGCCCCAAACCGTGAAACCTCTGGTCGCAGCCGGGCATCGAACTTCCTCCCTGTCGGCACCTCGCCGAAGGACAGCCGGGACGCAGCAGTGGAGTCTGCCTTGAAGCTGCTACCTCTTCTGGTACTTTTGTCGCAAGATGCATGTTTATGGATGCTTTTCCGATCCTCTTATATGCAGCTTCGCTTTTGTTTTTGGGGTTTCTGGGTGGGTTTAGACGGTATTTGATGGGAGTTCTGCTTGAGTTTTTTGGGTGTGTGGGTACACTACAGCGACCATGAAGAAATCCAAAGCCATTTCCTCTAAAGCATCCGGTCCAGGTGTGCGGCCTACTCAGCTGAAATTCCCCTGATGACGTTTCCACGGTTTCCTACAAATCACCCTAAACCCTAAACCCAACAGCCCAGTGGCTTGCAAGGAGTCTTCGTTCAACTTCAAAGCATCGGCAAGAGCCTGTGGCAGTGCATCGGTGAGGGAGACAGGGATGCCTAAATCCTGCCAATATAGGGGTCTTCATAATTACAATGGGGTTTTGGGGCCCGCTAAACTATATATCATTATCAGAAGGAGCCCCCACAATAGCATTAAATGAGTGATTATTTAGGCCCCTATACTAATTTATCAGCTTGAACACATAACGAGCTTCCTAGAGCTGAAAGAGATTTCAAAAGATTCTCAAACTTGGGGCTTGGGATGGGAACTCTGCGGTTCGGCCAGGGGATCCGGGTCTCAGGTCTTGGAGTTAGGATTGGGTTATTGCTTCAAGTTTATGTTTTGAAATCCAGGAAAGGTGGAAATTAGGTCCTGAATCAGCTGCGAAGCTCAATCTGTCCAGCAGCTCCAAAATCAACACCGCAGTCAACAATTCACGAACGACCCTTCTGTCTATCCCTGTATGCAAGCTTCTGAGATTTCGATGGCATCTCTTATAACCCTATGCGACCCATTTAGTAACCTGACAACATAAGCCTTACAGCCGCGACCGGCCTCGACCGCCGCCGGGTCCCCGTCGCTAAGCTCGACGTGCTTGGCTTCCATGCTGGCCTCTGGTTCGTTGATAATATGTGGTCTTGTATCGTGGAGTATGTCAATCCCCTTTCAACAACCGGCGTTAGCTCAAAACCCTCTGGCGAAGTAAGTCGGTGAAGGCTCCCAAGCAATGGCTCAACCCTAAACCCTAAACCCTACACCCTAAACCTTAAACCCTACACCCTAAACCCACCCTCCTAATGGCCCAAGCGGCAGCAACGATGAGGCCAGGGAGGCCCTGGCCAGCGCCTTGTTTCAGACGCGCAGCATCGAAAAAAACACACAGCCAAGGAGCTCAGCGTTTTCGGGTTTAGGGCTTTGACGCCCACGTCATAAAGGGTTAAGGGTTATAGGGTTTAGGGGTTTTAGGGGTTTTGGGGATTTTGGACTTAGGGCTCCGTGCTTCAAACCAAATGCTGCCCTGGGGCCCACTTCCAAGACTCGGCGCCTGCGAAAGCATCGCGGGTGTCGGAGCGCCTCAGTTGCATCGACATGTCGACGGGTTTTTGACAGTCATGCCTGTCGTCGTCGTGGCGATCGCTCATGTCATGGTCGTCATCGTGGCCATGGTCGTGGTCGCGGATGTCGTCATCAGAGGCGGCAGCGGCACGGTCGAATCAAAATGGCACGGGTGGTCATCTGGATGGCGATGACACTACTGATGATGCTGATGAGACTCCCACCCGGCCCATTAATCTCAGCATCTCCGATGCTCACCGTGATCAACACCGACATAAAACACAGCAACGACGAGACCACAACACCCTTACGCGTAATGATCCAAAAACACAACCATTCCGTAAGTATCATCGTGCGAACGGAGGCACCCAGCATGTCAGCGCTTCTGCCGCAGCAGAGATCCGAGGCGAGGCGGGCGTCCGGCGCAGGCGCAACTGCCGCAAAGAGAACTTTGGAGGCATGTCGGGTTCTGTTCGGGTGCAGAGAGCGTATACAGCCTGATTCTGAAGCTTTTTCAGGCGATTAACCCTTCGCTACGACCCTCATTTCAGAGTCAGTGAGATGCCGGATTGCAGGGTCACGAAGCTTAGGTTAGAGTCAGATCAGGAGCACGTACCGCCTGGAGATTGAGCAGGCTCTTGCCTTCCTTCTGGTGTTCACTTGTAAAGCCTTAAACTCTACACTTCCGGTAAGCCCTAATGGCTGAAAATTGAGACTTTCAGGGATGGAGCAGCACCTTGTGGCCGTCGCAGTCGTAGGTGAACTCCTTGAACTCTGCATGGTCCACCTTACAAGAAACTTGTTCTAACTACCCATACTAGGAGTAACTCTCACTACAACACATAAAACAGGAGGCATACCTCCACTTCGAACATCCTCGAACTACCCATGCATCTCCAAACAGTGCAAACGGTGTATCGCAGTTTTCTACAAGATCGCCGCTGAAACTTTCAGTCGCAGCATCGTGAAGAAACTGCAGTGGACGAGGCAACAAAAAGTTCTGAGTTCTGAGGGGTCTTGCACTCGGCCCGTCTTACTCTGAGCTTCTGAAGGTCAAACCTTGCGTTTTCCATATTGAGTCCAATGCAAAGCATAACAGCGCAACATGCCGTTGCACAATTCTAGGCTCCCAGACACACTGCCGGTCGAAGAGGCCCCAATCAGACCGTCCTGTGCCCAATTGCGTCAGCGAAGATTTCCGGCTTGATTAGAGCTCTCGGTTGGTTCGAGTAGAGTTGACCACAAAAGGTGCATTGGCAAAAAATAGCTAATGTAGCTTCGTGGCAAAGAGAACCTCAGATCTCGAAGTCGAAGTAAAGCACAGAAGGATGTATTTGCAGCAAAGAAGAGGGCAGAGTGCTTGCTTCCTGCTCCTAGCATAGAGCAGGCGGTGAAGGGCTGAAAGGGGCCCGTGATCCCAAACTCCGCAGCCTGATTTCTAAGAAATTGAATCCTTACCCTGAATGCGGGGAAACCTTAAGAGGCACTTCCCTGCATCCTACATATTGCACTAGCAACCCTGCGGACCCACAATCAACACGGCAATTGTTGTATAATAACCCCCTGTGTCTTGTACTGTATATACATGAAACACAAATCCCAAGGAGAACAGGGCATTGTTCTGGGTTCTTGTTAAGAAATTTGATTTCAGCTGTCACGGCTCAGGTGCTGTGGCGTGGCCACCTGGTCTACCGTAGGTGTAAACTTCCGCGTAGTGGTAGCTGTCCACTCAGGAGCAGATGAGGCTAATATACACCTTTGCTTGTGTCGTTAATGTTGCTTTCTTGTTATGCTTAGGGGCTGCTCACCCTAAAGCTTGGGCTTATAGGTGATTGGATGGTGAGGGTTTGTTTTGATTACTCCCGGAGTGTCGTAGGCCAGCCTGGCCTAACCATGGCAGCCAAGCGATGTGCGTGGGAGACCAGACATGATATCTGTGGGGTTACTTTGTCTGATCCGGCTGAGTTGTCTCTTGTTACAGGGGCAACATGCTCGGGTATGGCTTCCATTCCTGCAGCTCAGATCAACGAGACTTCAGCGGGACTTGCCTTCGTGACCCATGCAAGATTGCAAGAGCTCTCAACGATACGAACCAGCCGACCGTGCGCTCTGATTCTCAAAGGGCTCATCTCCCAGAAGATTGTCAGCCTCGGTATCGCATCAATCCGCGTGCATCAGATAGTTCTTACGTTGTGGGATGGCGTAGCTTCTTTAGTAGAGGCTCGCGCTGTGGCTGTATCCTTGGTGAACCTTGCCGTTGATGAAATGGATTTCATCAACAAAACCCACTCAGATGATGAACTTGCGTTGCGTGATGAGTCAAAGCTGCCAGTGTTGTTTGAGATGCGTCAAGCAGAGGCGGCTTCTTCTGATTGGAAGGCATACGGAACAGTGGCAGCGTTCAACGTGTACGTTGAGTCGTTACTGAAGTCCTTGGGTCTCTTGGGTCAGTCCATCCTGCACAAGACTACTTAGAAGCAAGACTACTTTGTGCGCAGAGTTCAGCTTCCATCCGGTTCTCGCAATGCCGTTTACCGGCGTTCAGGTGCATGCTCAGTTCAGTGCAGTGCAATTCGGGGACCACGGGATCCACAAGAACTCGGCCTAGAGGTTATGAAAGTGCACGGTGAGCGAAACCTCGCGGAATTCTTCAAGTTTGGAGAAGGTCTTGAAGGGCACTTGGGAGTATTTGCCTCGCAAGGCGCAACGTATGTTAGGATTGCTCGTTCTCATCTAGCGGCAGCCCGTGCACACTGGTTTCCTGGCGATGAAAGGTTCAACGAGGCTAACTCCGCAGTCAAGTGCTCCATGACGTTCCGCATACAAGGACACTACCGGAAGGCCAACAGAAAGGATCCGTCGCAAATCGCAGCCCCAAGGAGAGTCTCTAACACCATCCTCAACTTCTTCGAGTTCCGCAGCCGTCAGAGCCCTCAACTTCTCCACACGTCGGCCAGGTCCGTCGTTGTTGCCTCCCCCCGATGCGGTCATCCATGGCAGAGTGGATGCTCTAGAGAAGCGGTTGGGGCAAGCAGTTAAAGATGTTGAGGCTTTACGAAGTGATCAAATCGACACCAAAGAACAGCTGAGGGACTTGAAAAGTTCTCAAGATGTAGGTTTTAGAGACCTTCTTATGGCGATTCAAGAGCTCAAAGCTGGCAGCTTCGCATCAAACAGCTCCCGGCGCACGCCGTTTCTCCACCTTCCAAGCAACAGCGAGTTTAATACTCGCGAGATCAATCTGGAGAGCCGTTGATGTGTTGAGCTTCCTCTCATCCGCGACTTTGAGAGACGCTCGCATTGCCTGTATCGTAATCGCATATGCTTGCTTGGTGCTTATGGTCCTTCACATTAAGATTTGGCTTTGCGGGCTTCTTTTTGTGGTTATCCTCGTGTACTGGAGGTTTCCTTATGGGGTGTTCAAGTCCAAGGTTCAACAAGTCAGGGTGAGACGAGTTTTGCGGACTAAAGTGCTGTCTGTCACCATGGCTTTGTTTATCTCTTGCTCCTATTGCCTGTTTTATGTTAATGATGCTGTGCCCTTGTTTAAAATGGGTCATGGTACAGTCACAGTTACTGAAAGCGTGAATCAACGCGACTTAATTCATGTACACAGTGTTAATCAACACTTCGTTTGCAACTTCAGGTGCGAAGCACCAATCGTAATGGCTGGCCCCATCCGTGGGGATTTTTGTCAAAGCTGTTATGGGACGATTAAAGACTTCTTTAGTTTACACTCTGTTTCGCCGAGCCCGATCTCTTGGGAAGTGTTTGTTCCGTGTAAAGGGTACAAGGGTGAAGGGCCTTTAACCATCGTATCTGCCAACGTGACTTCATGTATCAAACATTTTGCGCGCATCGCCACCATAGATGCCCACATCAGCGATGAGGGCGGTGTGAGTTGCATGTTCCTGCAAGAGAGCAGAATCCCACAATCGCAAATTACGAACCTCGCGCGACGGTTTGAAAAAAGGGTTGGAAGTTAACTGCAGGGTCACAGCCCAGCACTAGGAAACTGAAAGGCGGACAGGTGGCGAGATACCGTCAACCTACAGGTGGGGTGGCAGTAGTGTCAAAACCGCACGGTGTCACGATCCCAGTCTCTATTCCTGATTCCTACTCTTCTATTCAAAGCTGTTGCCAAGTTGTTTGGGTGTCGGTTGGGTGTTTCGGTTTTTACGTGTTTAAAGTGTATTTGCCTTCAGGGAAAGCTGCTGCTGCAGACAGGAACGATCTTATGGATCACATCTTCAGTTTCGCAGCTTCTCTTGGTCATCACCCAATAGTGTGTTGCGGGGACTTTCAAAGCCCGCCGGAAAGCAATGCATCCATTGTCACGTCGTTCGTGGCTGACGAGTGGTTTGATGTATATGCTGAACAGCAACAGGCACTGGGGTTACAAATCGAACACACCTTCCAAAAATCCAACTCGCCTCATCCCAATCAAGAGTTTGGCAAGACTAGGATCGACTATTTCTTGTTGAACAGGCTTGCCTTACCCCTCTTTCAGTCTGCTTCGGTTCTTCGGGGCGCCGGTTTCCCTAATCATTCGCCGTGCACGCTTACCCTAAACATTGAACCGTTTCAAACCAGCATCCTTGTCGTCAAGCCTCACCCTAAATGGTCACTTGAACCCCTGCCCTGTAAAGAGTCCGAGTGGGAAGAGCGTGAGGGCGCAATCAAACCAATACTTGATGAGTTTATGCCCTCCCTTATTCAACAAGCTGAGTGCTGTGATGTTGAGGCCTTGTGGACCACTGCATGTGCCGCAGTTACCAGTATGATTAACACAATCACGCAACAATCTGTTCCTCCAACTAGAGGTAAGATTCCTTTGTTTAGGAAGGCTCCGTTATTCAAGCGCGACATCCAGAAACGCTCTTCCAGCTGCTTTAACACTGCTCTTAGATTGGTGCATGAGATTCGGTGCAAGGCTAGAGCATGGAAAGATGGCGCGTCTTCAGCGTGGATCTCACAACTGTATGCTACTATTTCCAACGCCTCTAACGTTGCAGCGAAATGCGGAGTTCATGCACTGTTCAACACAATGTCACCCTTACAGCTGCAAGCCTCATGTGCTTCCATTGAACAAGGGTTGGTGAGTGCTTTTGATGTTTGCGAGACTTCTCGGAAATAGCAGCTGATCGATCAGTGGAAGAATAAGCTAAAGTTGTCTGCGCGAGGCAATAAGTCCAGGGTCCACAGATGGTTGAAAGGTGAACGTGTTGGTCAACCCAGGTTCTTCCGACGTGATGACAATAGCATTACAACTGATCCTAACGAAATGTTGGAAATGATATCTGACCACATGGAGTCTATCTACAACTATCATGCTGACAAAGATGTAGATAGAATGGAGAGTGGTTTTTATGAAAAATACCAAACCGCTATCGATAACATAGCAGCTGACGCCGTTGTCCCAAGTATTGTCCACGACGACTTGTTTCGGTTGTTTCAAAAAAAGAGTAGTTTTAAAGCCTCGGGTTTAGACGGTTGGAAGGTTTTGGAGCTTCAGCAGTTACCACCGTCTGGATGGATCCCGTTTGCTCTTGTCATGAAGCTAGCTGAAGCCACGGGCATATGGCCAGAAGCGCTTATATAAGCTTGTTAGCATTGCTTCAATTTCCAATGGTGTAGATATGTCTACCCCTAAGAACATTAGGTGTATTGGCATCGCCTCTGTCATTTATTCCTTGTGGTCCTCGTTGCGTTATCGTCATCTTGCACAGTGGCAAGCTTCAGTATTTCCCCCAAGTTTAATCGGAGGCATTTGCGGACGCAACGGTGATGAATCGGAATGGCTGTTATCAATGGATCTACATAGTGAGCATACCGACACCATGGCACTGTTTTTGGATCGGTTCAAATGTTTCGATATGGTCATACCGCAGGTTTCTTTGGGTATTGCCAGACGTCTTGGGTTGCCAGACCACATTCATAGGGCTGCCTTGGGCTTTTATGCGAACCAAACCAAGTTCTTCAAATTAGGCTGTGCTTTCGGTAGGAGGGTTCTTTCCAGTAACTCGGCTGTGCAAGGCTGTAGCTTGTCCATTGTCATTGTTAATTCAGCATACGCAGTTTTTGCAACCGTCTTGAGCACTTTATGCCCTACTATTTCACTGAGATCGTTCATTGGTGATGCCAAGTTTTGGACCCCGGAAAACAACCATGCTGAACTGGCTAATGCTTTATGCTGTGTTGAGCAGTTTGACCAAAGCATCGGGCAAGTTCTCAATCCGGAGAAGACAACGCTAATGACAAAACGCAAGGCAAAAGCTGACAGGTTTCTTCGTGAAGTAGGTCGTCAAAACTTTGGTCGTAAGAAAACTGTTAAATCTCTAGGCTTTACACAGTCGTGCAAACTAAAAGGCAGCGTTGCTATTCAGAATAGTCGGGCCGCTAAGGCTCGTCAGATGTTGCAGAAGATCGCTGTCTTACCTTTGTCGCAACAACAGAAAGAAATCCACATTCACTCCAATGCTCATTCCAAGTGGGTGTATGGCTCTGAAATACAAGCCCCTTCTGCGCGCGTCCTTCATAGCTTCCGCTCAGCCGTTGTGGCTTGTTTGTTCAAAAAGAACCATGTTCGGTGTCCGTTTTTGAGTATGGCTACGCGAGCTGATCCTTTTCTTGACCCTTTTGGCAAATGGGTGTTACATGTGTTTTCGAAGCTTCGCAAAATGACCCGTAGCAACCCAGCTTTAGCAGTCAGAGTTTTGCAAGACGCTCAAAGGCTCGTCGGTAAGGTGCAACATACCAGCAATGGCGTTGCAGCAGTCTTTGCTTTTCTTTGTCAGGAGTTGCAATGGTCCTTTGTTGATGTCGACAACTTCGTCATTAAAACCCCGCAGCGCGGAGAAATCTGCTTAGCAGCGGGTAGCACACAATTCTTCAGAGAGGAGTTAGGCGTTGCGGTTCGAACTTACTGGTTACGCAAAGCTTCGATTCGGCATGACTGCCAGCTTCCGGCTAACATTCCGGACATGGACATTTTCTTGACCAGGTTTTTGATTGAGTCAGACTTCCGGTCTGATGAGGACTTCCAGTTCTTGAAGCCCTTTTTGCAGCGGTTGCCCTCCAATCATGCCCACACTCGTGCTATTCTTGAGTCGTTTATCACAGGCGGCATCTATACCGGACCGCGACTCAAAGCTGCTGGTATGACTCAATCGGATGAGTGTTGTTGCAAACAGCACGCGGAGACTCATCAACATTTGTTTATGGAGTGTCCACTATACGCAGCTACCAGGCCAATCAGGGGTGAAGAGAATGCCGTCTCTTGGACAGCCGGCATTTTCTTCTCCCCGAGAGATGCATTTGCTTCGGAAAGGTCACGTGACCACTTGCTTGAGTTCCCCGAGATCTCCGAGACCTTCTCAGTTGACGAGCCAGTCTTTCTGGACGGGTCTGCTTTTCATGAAAAGTGGCAAGCGTTACGCTCCGCGGCATGTGCTGTCGTCGTTCCTGGTAAGTTTGAAATGTCGGTGCTCTTGCCAGGCAGGGATCTCACATCCCAGCGTGCTGAATTGTATGCCGCTGTTTTGGCCCTTAAGCTTACCCATGGTTCGGTTACATTGGTCAGCGATTGCGCAAGGGTTGTCGACAGGGCGACATCTCTGAAGCAACATGGCTATCGGTTTGAGGATCTTGTCAAGTTTGATAACCACGATTTGTGGACAGCTTTTCTTGAAGAGGTCCACAAAAGACCCAACTGCAATATTTCCTTCGTCAAATTGAAGGCCCATGTTCCACGAGGTCACACAGGACAACCTGCATACTTGACGCGGGGCAATGAGCTTGCCGATCGGTGTGCCAAACGGAAAGCGCATATGCTTTCGTCAAGAACTTGCAAGAGCTCAAGCCTTTTATCCAGAGAGCTGTTGACATTCAAACTCACGCTGTGTCAACATTGGTTTCAAGGAGAGCCGAGTCCGAAATAGATATGGCTCCAGACTGCACTGTGCCTGCGCCTTTTCGGGATACCGTGATGTCTTGCAAGTGTTTGTGTCGCCCTACAACTCGGGTGATAGGCAAGTTGAAACCTGTATGTACTGGGTGTTGTATTATGCAAGTTGGGGGTTTGGAAGAGGCTCTTGTCGATAGTGTTTGTAATAGGAGTCGCTTCGACGACACAATCTCCGAGAGACTTTGGTCTCTCCATCCGGTATTCCGAAGAGTTGTGTTTTTCAACGGCATTCTCAGTCCTCCTGTTCAACCCGTCGAATGCGGTGTCATTAAGATTAGGACTAGGAAGGCTCCTATATCTTCAGCAGCATGTCAAGCATTCTGTAGTTTCATATGTGATGGTCGTTGGAAGTGGGGGACTAAGCATACGCAAGATAGGACCTGCTGGGTTGCTCTTGCAGTTGAGTTTGTAGCGTCCTTTGGCCTGTTTCGAGGACTGTGTGATCAGGAAATGTCTGTAGGAATCCTTGTCCGTAGGTTCAAGGATGTGTTTCTTCAAATCATCGACAAGCATCATGTCAATGCTGATCACATAGTCGGCATTAGGCACATGAAGTCATTTGGGTTCGGAAATCAGTCCGGCCTCTCGTGTTCGAGGCAGTTTCGTCATCATGATAAGCTTTTGGCTTGGATTCTGAAGGTTTCCAGGGATATTTCCTGTTTAGACCGTACCGTCAACATGAAGCCTCTTGCTTCCATAGTTCCATGCTGGGATGGCATAACCCCCGGCAATTGATGTCCCAATAACAGCGCGTTTCCTCCTTTTCCGTTTCCATCCTTCGGCTTGCACGCTGATACCAGCGAAGATTGGTCCAATTCGACTCGCAGGAGGCTCGTGAGGCCGATTGCAGTAATGCCCAAAAAGTTAAGGAAATTGATTTCAGTTACCTTAACAAAAAGGGTTCTTTGGTACATGATAATATGGTTCCCTTTTCAATTTTGGTACTATAACCAAATTCCTATTTCATTTCAGTTGCCATAGTAGGGTGCTAGTAAAGAATATGGTTACCGTATCTGGTACTAAAATTTAATTCCTATATAACAAGAACCCCAGTCTTGGGCACCCGCGTCCCAGGCCTTCGATCTCAGCTGCCGGACGAAGCGGCTGCCGCGGCAAAGGCGCTTCCGGGGGCTCCGGCACAGGCGGAGGCAGCGCTGCCTGCAGCCAGGTTTTACTTTATAATAGGGGCCTTAATAATTAGGATAGGGCTTTGGGGTTAGTCATATACTATGTACTTATAATAAGGAATCCGCAAAATAGTATAGGTAATTGATTATTGAGGCCGCCATATTAGGGCCGAGGGTTTGCAGTGTGGGTGTTCACATGTGTTATGGCCGGATCCGGCATAACGTGCAGGGAATTTCTCCACCCGCTCTGGTGCTGCAGTATAGAATACCCCAAGCCGTACAGCCTCAAGCCCCTTCTCTGCAAGCAAGCTTTAGAGCTGAATCACGGATACCGTGCTAACAGTTACGGGGTGACGTGCGAGTGCTGAAATCTCGCTCTGAAAGGCAGTGAAGCTCATGGGTCCACAGAATCACGAACATCCTAGCAGTACTGCCTGCTGATAGACCCCACTAAACCTCATTGCAAGCTGTCCAGCCTCCTCTTCCTGAGCCTGCCGTCGACGTTCACGTCTTGCCAACAGGGATTGGCTCCTTCATGTGAGCTGGCGATGGCAAACTTTAGAGACTTAGCAGGACCGCATCAACAACAAACACCGACAATCTCAGGCGTTGTATTCAACAGACTCCCAAAGACTTCGTAGCTGGATAAAGTTCCATGTGGCATATTCCGAGGATTTTCACATGTCGCAAAACCCTGGAGTTGTGCGTCTACTCCAGATCGCACAGTCTCTAGTTCTCAACATCCACCATCACTGCAGCCGAGCCTTGCACGGTGAGCTGCTTGTGCCTGGCGTGGTCGGCGGTCGATTTAGGGTAGGCTCCAGGGTTCCTAGGCTTCAGGGGCTTAGTATTCAGAAGTTGATGGTTTCAGACTCAAGTTTATGGGGTAGCTCTAGGGTTCAAGAATTAGGATTCAAGGTACCAGAACATTCAAACGAGTTTGGATAATCACCCCGGTAAGACGTCGGCCTTCGCCCGCCGACGCTCAGAACGTTCGGCCTCGCAGGGGGGTACGACATCTTTTGCAACAAAGCCAATGGCTCAGGCTTTGGGCTTAAAGGGATTAGGGTCATTTTTTGCTAACTCGGGACCTTTGTTTTCCACCTTGCAATGAACTCCCCTTCGAAGCCCCACAAGGTTCGGGATTTAGGGTTGAGGGGTGACCTTTGAAGACTCAAGGCTTTGTGATGCTGCCTTCAACCTCACTGCAGTTTCTTAACCCACCTTTAACCCATACCTCCGCCCTCCGAATCCCAGAAAGGAAGCCTTCCACACCCCAAGCCCCAACACCCTGGCTCCCCGAAATCCTCACGACCCCAAAACAAACCTATATCATCCCTCATGAAACCTCTCATGCAAAGAAAACCCATTAAAACCCCAATCAAAACCTGTCTAACAACCATAAAACACTAGAACACCTTTCTTGAACCCAGGCCCCTCCCGATCCCGGGCTCCTTCAGCTGCTCGGCTGCATGACGTTCGGCAAACTGCCGGCGAAGCTCCTGAACGGCCTCCGTGTCTTCGGCCTCCTTTGCAAAGAAAGGTTGTTCCGAAACCCCTGTAACTAGGTTTAGGCTGTTTCAACAGAAGCGGTAGGGCTAGTTCGCAAACATCATCCATTGAATTTGTCAGTTGCGGAGCGTCTTTGGCCTTCGCCTTTGCCTTGATGCCCTGTCGGACTGGGTATGTGTTGCCTTCTGTAGAAACTGTCCTGGAGTGTTTGCCTCTTGATTGTCCAGTCGGAGAAACCTTTCCTGAGTATGTGGTGCTTCAAGTAGAAGGTCAAACGAAACCCTTCTGGAATATCTATAGTTGCGTCTTGATGTCCTGTCTGAAAACGCTATCTTGAGGGGGTGCTGTTGGCAGCCGGTCGCTGTCCGGTCGGAGAAAACTGCCCGGCGTTTGCCGTGCTTGTGGCAGCGGGTCGAAGACAATACTGTACTGGAATGTCCTCTTTTAAACCCAAATCAACCACCCTGAACCCTAAGCTCTAAATCCTGCACTGCAAACTCAAGCCTGAACCCCCCATACCCTGAAGACCTACATCCCTGCATCCTCCGCGGGCACGGACAGCTTCGCGAATACCGGGAAGCCTGCGCCGTCGTGCGGGATCCAGGACCGCATTAAGCATACTACACCGACTATACGTGTGTCCTGCAGGATTGGACTGACGTTTCGGGTGACTGATGCCTACTGGCAGAAGGGGTCTGAGGGGAGCTTGGTATTCCAGCTTTATGCAGGGTTGCAGGGCCTGTAGTCCGGAAACATGTTCGACATGTACGGCGTCAAACTAAGGATGAAGCACCGATGCGGGCAAAAAGTATGCCAACAACCTCTATATCGGCTGGTTCAGGTACTAGTTAACTAGTTGGGTCGGAATAACTATACTCACACTATGTATGCTTGTAGTCCTGAAAAGATCAAAAATACGAATATTACGAGTATGTACCCTTATCGTCCTAACTTCCATACTTAAACCCTTTAAATGCCCGCCACCGCAGGGCATGGGAACAAAGGGTGCCGGCGAGGTGCACTTGGAACTTCGCCCAATGGCCTGCTCTACGTCCGCATCGTACTCCGTCGAAACCTTCGGAGGGGCTTCGGGCTTTGGGCTCTAAGTTTGGGGTTTATGGTTAGGATTTAGGGTTGAGGGTTTCGGGTTTGGGGTTTAGGGTTTAGGGGGTGTAGATAGGGTTTAGTTTGAAAGCTTTAGAAAGGAATACATAGGGCTGGGGTTTAGGGTTTCGTATGGCATTCCTTCAGGCTTTGGGGTTCAGGGCTTTACAAGGCTTTAAACATGAAGTCATTGGGCTTGGGACCTACAGTGGTTCTCGGCGTTCTTGGTAGGCCTTTCGGGCTATCATATAGAAGCCACTTCTATAGCGCAATTGTGAACGGAACCAGAAAGAATAACATTCAGGCATCTATATTGCAGACTTCCGAGTTTGGGGATTGAACGAGCTCCGGCTTCTCAATTCATGAGATTTTGTGTGTTGGAGTGGCAAGTGCAGCCACCAACAGGGCAGGGCAGCTAAGATTGAAACTTCAGCAAGTGACAAACAACAAGCCGAACGTACTACAACAGCATCCTCAGACGCCAGAAGTCCAAAACACCAACACCGACACAGGCCTAACACAAACTTCCGACCTGCAAACCGCGACAGTGAACCTGCCTCGACCCTCCAGCCTAAAAGCGAATGAACCCATATCAACGACGGCTCCAAAAGTCTGGGAGCGCAACACTCAATTCCAATGCCGAAAAAACCAAAACAACAAGAATCGCACCTCCACGGTGCCGAAAACCGACTTGGCCGTTGAGAGGAACTTCCTGAGTTGCTTTGCCACGGCTCTGTTTGGGTTTGGAACCTACTATCGAAGATTGCAGGTTCACCTGTGCAGGCATATGTTGGACTGATGGCTGCAAGGCATGAGCATGAGCGAGTCGGTTTTCGAAACTCCTGCGACCGGGTTCGAAACTCGTACGACCGGGTTCAGACTTCAAGCTGTCGGTGGTGAATGGGCGCGTGTGACAAACCGAAGGGAAAGATCCACAGCAAACATCGACAAACCTTATCGTATAAATATGAACACAATAGTCGTAATTCTAACCATATATACTAAGTATATACAAGTAGCAACCATGAGTATCACTACTAGTATCATCATCCTTATCTTTGCTTTTTATAGAGCATAAGGGCAGGAGCAGACTGGGCCCAGCTACTCCAGCGAGCCATTTCGGCGCGAGGCGAAGAGCAGGAACTGGCCTGCGGCGAGAAACGGAGAGGATCTCTCCGACATCACGACATGGGTCTTAGATTTGATTAGTCTCTCTAGTTGTGAGTAGTAGTAGTAGTAGTAGTAGTAGTAGTAGTAGTAGTAGTAGTAGTAGTAGTAGTAGTAGTAGTAGTAGTAGTAGTAGTAGTAGTAGTAGCAGTAGCAGTGGCCGAATCCCAAGTTGAAAAGGACGGACAGCCCGAGACCCTGAACGTTTGCATGTGCAAACCTTCGGAAGCAGCCGCTTCAACGCATTCAAAACAAACAAAACCAATCAGCCCACCCACAGGGCTCCAGTTACCTAAACAATGGGCTGCTGGGTTATACATTACATGGTTAGTGAACTGCTATTCGGGAGTTTCCGAAAATGGGGGACCTAATATAATGCCCTAAAGTGTAGGATCCTTATTGTAAGGGACCCAAATTCAAAATAAGGTACCCCGAATTTTCGGAAAACTCCCATATTATGGTATAGTCAAATGTTACTAAGACTAGTATTTGAGTAGGTGCAGCCCTTGAGCACTACAGCAACCAGCCTCCTGGTCGTAGCACTCTCAGCATCATCTCCAGTAAGGCCCAGTGAAGGTCCTCGAGGTGCTGAGGCGGTTTGGGGGAGACTCCAGGGTTCCGGTGAAGCCATGGCCCAAAGGGTCCAAGTATCATTATGGTATATACTTAGACCCCCCAAAATACCCTATGAGTATATACCATAGTGATACTTGGACCCTTTGGGTGGAGAACAGAAACTGTCCGTGTTCTTTGCGTAGGATACATTCCAGGCATTGGTCGGGGCTGCCGATGAGGAACATGTTGCAAGTCTGGTGCTGGAAGCTTTTGCCTGGGTTTTCGGGTCCTTGCGTTTGTGACGTTCTTGTGTTTGTGTGAAAATCCTTCGGGCCCCTGGTCCTCGAGATAAACAACATCGGCTCCGATGACCAGATCGAAGGAGTGGCGGGGAGGCCACTGCTCCATTCGGTCCTCAACGGCAAAGCGGGGCCAGATTGACAGCAGAAACATAAACTGACATCTGTGCACCTGTTGAGCCTGAAATCCGTGCTGCATGAAGCCAGCTTGTCATCGATGGCTCCGTCATTTGTTCAGGGCATGAGTTGAGGTTTGGGGCGCTTGGAAGATATTACCAAGCTGTCAGTGATGGTGGAAACAAGCCCGAAAAGAAAACAGCAACCACTGCTCCAATGCGACACCCGGCTGCATCAGGAAGCCCTAGCCAACAATGCGACGAAAGCCCAAGAAGCCCTTCAGGCCTTACTGTAGATGCCAAACATCCAAGCCGCTGAGGCTTCAAAGCCCCAAAGCTCAACGCTACCTCCGCCATTGAAGCCCTGACGCCCAAAACCTACATAAGTCCTGTTCCTAACCTGAACCATACTATACACAACGGATCTTCTGCCTAAAGCAGTTTCGCATGCTTTGAGTTAAATTCTTGTATGACTATACACACACTACAATGCAAGCCCTTTCAAAACCTGCTCTCCATCTAAACCCCTAAACCCTTAAACCCTAAACCCTTCTCCATCTCTGAGGCATGGGCCCAGAGCACTTGTTGCACGGCCACCAGCGACTCCTCGAAAGACCCTTTGTTCAGCTGCAGGGAAGTCTCCAGGACGCGGACGACCTTGGGATCAGCGCTCTGCGGTGCCAGGTTCTGCTGGATTTTACTACAAGGTGGTGGGTGGCCATGCAGCTGCAGTTTGTTGAAATGTCCGATGCTTGTGGAGTTTTGCGAAGTCGTGTGATAGCCCTGTAGGATTGCCGCCCAGTGCCGCTGGTACTCCAGCGGACCGGACCCTGAACCTGTGAGAGGTCACACACTGCCGGGCTCACAGTCTTGGGTTCGTCATGAATATTTAAGTTACGCATGACCCAGAAAGGAGTGTCCCTGATTCTGCTGACCTCCCTACTTTCAGCGCCCGGTCTTCGATGCCGAAGGAGCGGCCTCCGGATCACCATCGGTCAACAGCACCTGCAGCCGCGACAGTGAACTTGCCACGGCAGCAAGACATCCTACGCGGACTATGCTTAGATGCCTTGTTTCGGAATCGGCCCGCAGCTACATTGACAGCATGTACCAATTCCTGCAAACAACGGCCGTTGACCTGGGCACCCTTCGCAGCTGCGACTCATCGACGTGGTCGAACCGTGCCAATGCTGCTGACAACCGGAGCGGAAAATGATGCGCCAGGCTGGGGCTGCTCGGCTTATCCAACAGCTATCGGCTCGGGAAGGAAGACATAATTTCCGTGTCCGAGATCAAGAACAAGGTAAGTACGCGATACCTATGCCACCGCAGCAAGAAGAACGAACCAACAGATCAGCATTTTAAGCTTTTGCAGTTCTTCGACATCGCCTTCGAGCCGCAGGTGATTGCATGGCTCCTCCCACGCGAAAGCAGGATACCACCGATCTACAGCTGCCGAAAGTTCCGACGTGTCACGAGTGCCGGTTGCTGTTGGTGCTTGGCCTCGTCAGCATGCTCCAGTCTGAGTATGTCAATCTCAAGGCCTTTTCACTCGAGCTCCTTCCAAAACCACCGGCCGCCACTCTTCATCCTGCAGGCTCTCTTCCACGTGAAACCTGAACTCCCAGTCCGAAGGAGGAGCCTCCTGCCCTCTGCAAATTTTCGATATATTGCTGTTACTGACACCGGTATGCAAAGCTGCAGCCTGGATTGTTGGGAAGACTTGCCAGGACTGCTCATCTCTGTCGTGACGTGCCTGCACAGCCCTTCCTCGCTGCGCCTTTGTCCTTTGCCTGAGAGAATGCGCATGCTGCATGTTTTGCGATGGTGTAGCATACTCCAGATTGCTCAAGCAATTATTTGTCGGGTTGCCGTCTATGTGATTCACGAGAAACCCCAAAGACTCTGGTTGGCCAATGAATGTTGCTGCCACCAGCCGGTGTACCAAGAGATGGCGACCTGCACGGTGCACTTTTAGGTACCCCTCGCGCCGGAGAGATCCTAATGACACGCGGTTGTTGTCTGTGAACCAGACACGGCCGTGGGTACTCACCATGAGCCCAGGAACTGAAGAGAGGGTTGATTTGTATGCATACTTGGCATCTTCCCATCGTTCCCCAGCCTCTGCCGTCGGACCGTGCGCGTATTTGAACTCAGACCATTCGCCACCACTGCGGCATCTCGCAATCATGTGTCGGCAACACTGAGAGACTTGGACTGCAGAAAGTTCGAAGGCCTTTGCTGCCTCTCTCTGCGAGGGGAACGATGACCACTTCTCCGCTCCGCACATGCGCCCGAGGACAGGTGTGGCAGACCCTCCTACTTTGCTCCGGCGATTGTGGCGTGCTGCCCAAGAATGGTGCACGTTCTGTCGTGGGGTCACGTACTGTAGGTTGCTGAGGTGGTTGTTCGAACGGCAACCATCAAGATGGTTCACTTGCCACTGCTCGGCCGTAGGCGGCAGGCCAAGAAATGCAACGGCTACGAGACGATGGACGAGAAAGTTGTGGCCGCTGATCCATACGGCTCTGTATCCTGAACGCTGCAAAGTGCCAAAGCTGATGGAATCACGGGTAGAACGGACACGTCCAGCAGAACTGACATGCCATGTCATTGTGCCTCCATCGCGCTGGGACGCTTCATCCCGGCCACTGCTGCCCCGTTTTGCAGCCAACATTCGGTGAGTCTGCGTGCGCAAAGTCGCCGTTCTCCAGTTTGATGCAGCCACATGCGACAGCATGGGAAGGCTTGTTCGGTGTGCTCTTGGTCTTGCCCACCTTCACCACACTGCTGTGATGATTGGACGAACTATGAGGAACTTATCAAACAATTATGAGTGCAATCCTCGAGCACCAGAAACCACCGTCACTGCTGTCGGACATCAGCATCCGGACACATCCGGCTTGCAAATTTCTGAATCTAGATGACTCACGCTATACGCTGAAGGAGCGCGCAAAGCAAGACACACACATGCCGATGCTAGCGCTTCACGATAACAGGCCGCAATGTCGTACACCAGACTCCATCAGAAACATATCCTCATATAAACCAGAAAGGCTTCAACTCTCTGAACCAGAGCCCATGCTGCTGCCTCTCGAGCACTGGTGCAGGCCCCGGCCACGAAGCCGGCGAAGCCTCGGATTCGGTCCCTCGTCGCTCCCATAGCCTTGAAGGCCAAAGAATATCAGGACCTGGTACTGTAGAGGTTCCCTGACAGTCCCTAAACTATGCAACTATGCTACCAAGAACCCCAGTCTAATTGCTCAAGGCCCCTTTATTCGACCCCATCACCAAGGTGATGTTTGATGTATCCAGATAGACCAGCTCGCTAGCTCTAGAAACCATTTCTTTTTGCCGATGGCTAGGTCCTGGTGATTTTACCGCTATGGGTTCACTTCAAATAGGTGTGACCTGCGTCAATTCTCCGGTCCGGCGCCTGTGAGCACCTCGCTTGCTATAGACGACTGCATAGTGGACCATTCAAACAATATCACACTTGACATGTCGCAACCCGGGTATGACACAATCAGCTTCCTCTCCGACCTTCGGCCTCAAAGTGTAGCAGCGCAAAGGCCCAAAGCTCAATCGCTACGTCTTTCTGCCAAGCGGCCGAGGCCAGCGCCCACGACCAACACGCGGCGGGCGTGGAACAAACGAGGTCCTCAAAAAAGACGGCATAAACAAGATTGAAGCTAGGCAGCTAACTTAAATAGAGCCCTGAAGCTTCAATTCAAGACTCTCCCGCCGCCTTCCAACGAGTTTCAGAAACCGTCAGTCTCGAAATCCCTCTACTAAATCTAATGATCCATGCGAGCTCTCGCCTACGATTTAGGATCTACATCTCCCCTCTAAAGATCTGCCATGGCTTCCAAGAGTCTTTTGAGGATGAAGGTGGCAAGCGCCTCCTGGCAGGTTTTCGGCATCTTCGGCTACAGTTTGCACATCCCAAGTCTTAGTCTTTGAGGCTCGAAGGTTTCGAGAGGTAGGTTGACATTGTGCCGGAAGCAGGAAAAACGCCCACCGAGACCTCGCGTTTGTAGTGCCTTGCTTCGCATGCCTTCCGTTCCCTTTATAATGGGATCCTACAGTAGTAAACCCACCTCGGAGGGCGAGATTTTCCGCGCGAAGTCGCCATGCATGAGCCTCCGACGGAGGCTGATTCTTGGGATTTCAGGATGCGGAAAGTATGTTGAGGATTTGGGGTTTGGAATGGTAGGAAATTGCGTACTTCGACAGTCTTCCGGGAAGAGATTCTCCAGCTTACTTTTGGAGATCCGGGGAAGCCCGAAGCTCAGAGCTGCAGTGGTGGGATTAAGCGCCAGCTTTCAATGACACCCTGACAGTGCGCAAATCACAAGGGAAGCAAATATCACGAGGACATCGTCTATATTCGAACCTCGATGCTGAAACCCACAAGCCCGAACTCTACAGTACTGAGACCAGAACTATCGCTACCCACGTCTATGCCGATGTCTATATACAAGATCAATGAACAAACGTACTAAACTAAACAAAATATACACAAAAACACACGCGCACAAACATCTGCATTTTGTAGCCGACACGACACCCTGTGTTCCATGTGCAGCTGGGATACCTGGTGCCACAGCCCTCGAGCGGCTGTCGGAATTCGACTGCCTCTGCCACGACCACAGATGATCTACGATGTTCGCCTTTCTGATAGAATCGTATTATGTACAAGCCAGGGCAATGGAAAGCCTAAACAAGTAGCAATATTTGCCTTGTAGTAATTGTAGTAGTCCCTAGACTGGACTATTTAGTATGCTAGGCTGCTAGACCCTAAACCCTGTTTCAATTGTTAGCACCCCTCCTTTTGAGCTGGTGTTGATCATGGCTGTAAGCCTCGCCCTCCGTCTGCAACAGCCGGCACTCAATCCCAAAGGACTTTAGGTTTCAGGGTAGGGGAGTCCAGGCAAGAAACCCACCACCTAACAGCAGAATATCTGGGCTTTGGCTGGCTGCATCGTCCTAAACCCGAACCATCAGCCCAAGCCCTGCTCCAAAGCCGAGCTCCCGTAGAAACCCTGTAATGCTGAGGCATTAATAATGATTAGAACTGACGTCTGGGGTGTCTGACAATCCAAACCCCTCAAAACACCATGGGACAGTCGCCAAGAAAGTCCAGCCTTGCCCGCGCAGTTGTACGCCAAGCTCTTGTAGGCCACCGCCTGAGTAAAATTTGGAGGGGCTTTGCCTGAAACTGAGGCTTTGGGTGTCGCCATAGCAAGAAGAGCACAGGAAAGACTATGTAGAGACCCGAGACGGGAACCCTGACAGCAGCCCTCCTCAGCAGCTTCTGAAACCTCAAAGCCCTCGCCTGGCCCTGCTCATCAACGTCACGCACCTGTGGAATTGCGGCGTCACAGGTCTTCATAAATAGTATATTTAAATGGGCCAAGCTTTGTAGGTCTCAGCTTAGGAAATCAGGGCGAAAGACATCAGATGCTTGGAGTGGCCAGGCAAGGGTCGAGATGCGGGGCAACCACCAAAGTTGCTTGCTGATTCGCAAATAGGACTACTTATGTTGTGCCCGAGGCGGGAATTTGATCTTTCAAGCGTGTTCGTGGTCATCTAATCTAAGGTTCTAAGATAATTGAATATTAACAACCAGTTCACTGTCAACATGAAACAAAAATTGGGTCTCGAGCATCTCGAATTTGGCTTTAGTCTGAAAGTGCTGTCTGAGCCTGGTGGGGCCGTCAATTCGACATTCGAGATCTACAAATTTAGTCTCACTAACACAAAGGCTCCAACACACGCAACTAGCTTGGGCAACGACCGTCTTCGCGATGCGGTCGAAAAGCCCCCAGTGGGAGCGCTCGCCTGAGCCACGGCGATTGGTGTCGGTTCAAGGGGTGTTGGGCCTTGGAAAGGATGCTTTCGGATTTAGTTGTGCGGTCTCACGGTGGATCCAGCAAGCAACGGCTGCTGAGCGCTATGCATGTATGTATAAACATAATCGATATGCATACCACTAATGGAATTGTAGGGTGTCGTTGTGAAACGTCTGTCCGGGTGCCTGCAGTCCCGCACCAGGGCAAAACGGCAAAACTATGTATTTGCAAGGACGGCTGAGCTACACATAATGCCCACTTGTGCAGGTCTACCTGACTCGCTCCGTCTGCGGGGTGTTGAGGTTTGGGTTGAACCGCGGTCCATTGAACGCACTGCCCTTGAATCCCTCCAGGCAGCCCCAAACCTTCACTCCAACCCACATTTTCACTTGAGAAAAGATTCCGTTGCAGCATGTTTTCGTACGTCTCCCGAAAACCTGAAAATGACAGGCCGGGTGAATCTACCAACAACGAGATTCTCGCCTCTTGTCTGTTTGCTGAGTTCGAACCTCAAGGCAAAAATGAGTATTTAGCAGCATTAAACTACGTAGACTCAAGAACCCAAGCCCAAACCTCAACACTGGACGGTGGAGAATGTCCCACTGGATGTTTCTGTGATTCAGCGCCGCGCATCCTTCCCAAGCGCCCACGGCTTCCATGACTGGCACTGCATGGCTCGCACGGTCTCGGGAAAGGACTTTCGCAGGGTATTTGGGGTTTAGGGTTCCGGGCTTAGGGTTGGGGTTTAGGGCTCAGGGTTGGGTTTCAAGGGGCTTGGAACGATCTTGGATTGAGATGCTCTGCCGGAAGGCCGGTGGGGCCACCGAAGCGCTATCCTTACTACCGGGGTTTGGGGTTCGGTTTTAGCAATGCCCTTACCCATATGTCATACCGGTTGCATTGCGGATGTCCATCATTGTCGGTTACACAGGGGTACCTTGAAGCTCCGTGTCCCGTCGCTCTGGATGCCCAGCTGCACCAGGCACCCGCACGTCTTGTGCAGGCTTCTGGGCTTGGGCACACAACGCTGAAGCAGGGAGCAGTCAGTAGTTGAGTTCGAGCAGGGTTTAGGCCACAAGCTGAAACAGGCATCAGTTCTTAGTTGAAACCGATACAGGACAACTCATCGTTTCATACGGCAGCAGGACCAAACATGTGCAAACGTTCATGCACTCCAGGTTTCGGCTTCATTACTTCCGGATCAAGGGTTGGAGCTTGAAGCTTCAAAGTTGGTGTGTGAGAGTTCCAAACCAGAGACTTATATGTAAAGTATGATGAAGGGTCTTGAGGTTTACGGCTGAGGGTGCAGAGGCTTGCACACCGCCAAAAATCGAAGCTGCCCAGCCCCTGCCTTGTGGTTTAGAGGGACGCAGCCTGTCAGAAGGCGGGAAAAGTTGGCCGAACCGGGCGAGCTGCTTAGGACTTGAGGCGCAGGATCTTATAAAGTTCTGCAATTGAGGCATCGTCTTCAGAGTCGAAGCCTTGGGGCTTTTAGGGCTTATGGTTTGGGGCTGATGTGGGATCTTCAGCACTTCGGCTTTGAAGTTGGGAATCTGGAGATTGGGATTGGGGGTTCAGGGCTTAGACTTGAAGTTGTCATTTGCCATAGGGCTTGGGGTTGCGCCGGTTAGAACCGTAAAGAGACTGATTCTGCGACGAAACGGAGTGTAGACGGACACGGATCGAGAGACACAAGTAGTTTCTGCTAGGGGGCAACGCAACCAAACATGCCCCAACAAAGGCCACGGTCACGGACACCTCCGACACCAACACCCACACCATCATCATCCCATCCTCATCCGAGCACCGTCGCCATCATCATCAACGGCAACGACAACGTCGTCATCATCATTCTTTTTCCTATTCGCTATGACCGTCTTCTTCT